CCCCGGCTGGTGGGCGGGATCAGTCTCGACAATCGGCTGATGCAGTCAGAAGGAGGAACGGCGCAGAAGGAGGAGGAGAAGCCGCGACGTGGGACTTCGTCGCTGCCTCAGGTAAGTTACTGAAGGGGTTTTCACCTCTTCAGCAACCGGGGATTGGGTGGTGGGAGGGATAGGGAACCTGCAGTGCCAGGAAAATGGATAGTTTTCCCTTTAAGGTAGCAATGACTACTAGACCTCGCCTCAGGCCAGGGTCCCAACTGAAGAAATCCATGAGCAGCCGACCAGGCACGCAGAAAGCAAGCCCGACAGGCGGAGTACCATCAGACCCGCTCTCACACATTACAGAGGCGGAGAGCCCAAGACCGCTCGGCTACAGATCAACCTGCAATTCGGGCGCTTCAGGGCGGAGACCCTTTGTACAGCAGACCTCACGCAGCACTCTGGCATGTGGCCCAGCTGAGATGGTGGGACAACATCGACCCAATAATATATGCAGTCAGCTTCCCACCATTAGGGATCGGATGAGAGGGGACTCATGCAAGACAGAGGCAAACAAATCTTCTATGATCGCCAGATCTAATCTCGTTCTGAAATTTTTACTTTGCTTTTGGCTTGTATATTATATGTTACTTGATTGCTTTTATATCGAGTCATCAAGCTAGGTACAGCGGTGTTATTAAAGCAGTGGGATGCGAGGACCAGTGACCAGTGCGTTATGCAATTGTTGAATACCAATTTTATAGCCTACCTGATATATTATGCTAAATACACCTTTCGCAATACCCCTAGCCCTATAAGTATCTCTGTAAGGTCAACACTCATGCTACTTTACCTAACGGAGCCTGGTTATTACTGTTTATCTTAGTCTTATGGCTTTTGAGCGCAGCGCTCAGCTTGCCAACAATTAATCCCTACGAAGCAATGATAGTAGCAGAACTACCTATCCTAGCGTGGCCCATCAGCGGCACAGGCCGAATGACACAGGCAGATACCTTTATCAACTAATTTTTCATCTAGCCCCCAGAGCAACAATTCCATCTCTTTCCAAAGATTGCTTGAAGAAGAGTGTTACGGTACATACAGTAATAAATGTACAAACCGCCGTTTAGTGAATGCTCCCTGTTCGCAATAATGTGGTCTGGTAGCGTATGCAGTATAAACATGCGAACCGCCAGCCAGGGAACACTCCAACCTCCCGAACGGTACCTGTATGGCTCCTTCCCTTCACGAGCTCCAAATACACGAACTGCGAATATTAACCAAACGCCAATAACTTCCAAGCGGCAAATAATTCCAACGAGCAGTCTCTAGTCGCCGGTAATAAAATCCCCCCCAATAACGAGACCGAGCTCCGCTTTGAGGGTAAAACACGAACTGAGTTTACTGTGGGCTACCTGCCCGTATTTATGCAGGTCTCCCACTTGGTGGACACTCCCCTAGGGGACCAAACGGGAGACTGGAATAGCAGAAGGACATGGGGACATTTTAGACATACAACCCCACAATATTCCCAGCATGCATCACAGTTTCCTCCCCTCTGCTCGGGAGATAATTGAGAAGTAATTCAATTATCTCCCAGAGCAGAGGCAAATCACCATTTTAAATACAAGTCACAAAACACATAAAAATACATAACTTTATAACTGCCGAACATATTACATTTGTGTAACACATCCTCAGATAGCCTGGATCTGAGTGCATATTATTGGCGAATAGCGCTCAGATCCCACACACATAGTTCAATCGCCATGGAGTCAAAGTCTATTGCAGTTCTTCGGTATGCGATTGACTCCATGGAAAGGCTATCTGGGGTAAGTCCATTCGTGCCTTTAAACCTCTCTAATGACCGGTGTTCGCATACTTCTGTCGATTGAGAAGGGAGGTCGACTGCTTTCAGCGGTGTTCGGTTGAAAAAGTGTCTAGTTTTTAGTTCCATGAAATAACCGTCGAACACCGCTGGTCTTTCGCATGGTTAAAATGGCCGCCGCCTCGTGGTTGACATACGAACGACGACCACCCTGTATTCGGTTTTAATTGAGAAGTGTCTGTGGTTAACCGCAATGTTCTAATTGGGATCAATAGGTTAACCAGCAGCACACTTCTCTTCTGGGTGGCCGGCCGTTCTGTAGTTTCGTTCGACAAAAAATACATTCCCTTAAACAAGGCATACAAATGGGGAAATTCACACAAACGGCAAACAGATGAACACAGCAATTCTAGTTCATACGGATGGGTCTGTCACAAAGAGTGTCCCCAGTGATTTCACAGTCTGTTGAATACTGTTGAAAATAGTTTTCCCATTCACCCCAGAGTCTAGATAGATTGTCATACTCTGACAGCAAACGCCACAATCTAGATCTAAACTGTTTTACTAAGCATTGTTTACTAAGCATGTTCCTAATCTTGTCATTACTCCTTAAAAAAAATGTGCACATGTTTTTCTCACTGCCTTACTGCATGTAAACCATGTATATTGACTCTCTGTCAATTGCTGTTGGGGCATGACAAACTGGTATGGAATTTCTTGCACAACAAAATAAATAAATAAAAATAAATTTAAAAAAATCAATAAACACAACGTAACGTATTATGAATATTTCCTTCTTAAACTGTTCATTTGCTGCTTGCTGTTACTGCCCCTGCCAGTCTGTATTACCGCTAACAAGACTAAAACTATCCATAGATTCCCACATAATTCAATTTCCAGCATTACCCTTAGGGTAGTCTCCTTTACATTCACCAGATTGCCCTCACGTCCGATGTTACACACGAACAATGCATATTATCTGATTTAATTTGATTTCGGTTGACTTTTCAGGCTGGGTAGCAGAACGTATAGAGAGTACACATGGAATCTGGATTATGACCACCTGGTGGTACTGTTAAACGAACCAATAAACCACGTACATCATTCAATTACAGACATGATGTAATTGAAGCTTGATTTAAAAAGCTCAATCAAGCTGGCGTTTGCTTGCAACAGATTAGCCAAAGTTTTTGACCGCGAGAGGAATAGCTCAGATACAGATAAAAGTAGAGTCCATATCATCCTGATTTTGAATTGAAGTTTGTGGATAGTGGTGTTACCCGTGCCCATCTTTATTTGGTAAGCTATTTATCTTGTTTAAACGCATTTGGTAAACTCAATTTGCAAACGGCATCGAACATATTAATGCTACACACGCCTGTCTTAATTGTTATAATCCCCAGCTGGTTTTTCACCATATAAACAATTATTTCTAACTAGAAACCGCTTAACGAACACAAATAACTGTCAATCTGTAGTAAAAGAAAGCGGTGACATGAGTTTGTGTTTGTTCGTCTTGTTAATTGTTTTGGTTATGTTACAAATGCAGCAGCTTCAATGTAACAAGTTTAACAATTTAATGCTTTTCGTTTATCTGTCACTTAAATTGTGTATTTGTATTTCCAAGGGTGAAGAAAGTATTTAATGATCATCTGTTTCGAAGAGTAGACCGTCTAATGCTAAAACTCAAGATGTTAAAACCGGGTCAGTCTGACCGCAAGATATCCGCTGTAGTTCCCTTTAGAGAATTTCCCCTTGAGAAAAAAGATGTAGAACTTATTCTAGTCAAGGAACAGAATGGAGTCCAATATACCAACAGCACAATCATTGTCTCCGATTCTTGTCTGCAAAACGAAGTGTCTGTCCCAGAAGAGCAAGAGCGAGAGCAATGGGGCAAGAAGATAGATTTCCTCCTCTCTGTGATCGGATTTTCAGTGGATCTTGCAAATGTGTGGAGATTCCCTTACCTGTGTTACAAAAACGGAGGAGGTAAATAGGTGCCATATGGTATTTGTGTTTCTATTTGCAGGGTGCACGTGTATCTTTTGGAAAACGTTGTGCACTTGTACGAATGCAGTTACTAAAAATACTTTTTTGCTTCTCTAGTATAACACTTACAAAAGTACGTGTGAAAACCAAAACGAAATTGCATTTAACGCATTGTGATATGTCTTCATTTCATAGAAATGTGTAGCTTGCACCATTCTAGAGTTTAAATACTATCGAGTTCACCATATTTCACCACATTGTAATTGGTGACGAGTAATACCAAATTGAAATGTTTTAAACCTTACAGGGCGGAAGATACACACGAACAAAATTTAATTATTTTAGAACCCAATATCCACTAACTACGTGTATTGTGTAAGTTGTAAAAAGATAAATATGGATATTTGGACTTTAAAGTATAAAACAAAGGACTTATTTAAGAAAATGTACACATCCTTTTATAGAAGCTACTTACTACAAAATCAGACTTATTTCATTTCTTAATAGGAAAGAGGAATGTTGTGATATCTTGTTTATATTGAATATAAAAACATCATGTTCAAAATTTTGTGTTGGAGATTTGACAAGAGGAACATAAAATGCTTAAGGAACACCATTATTTGCACAAATAGATGCTACTGCAAGTGTCTCTCTCTTTATTGCAAATCTGAAATAAGCACTCTATTTTGTATGAGCATATGTTCCTCCGTATATTGCTAAACCGCAATAATTTGAATTTAACTAGAGATGCAGGAATTTTAGTGACACACACTCTTGTTGTCAACTTGGATTCACAAGGCTTTTTTCGGTTTGTTTAAAAAAAAAAAAAAAAAAAAAGTTTAACCCCTGGTTGCTTGGTAAATAAAGGGGCATCTCAAACAGATCCTTTCAGTTTGCACTGAAACTAACATTCTTCAAAAACCAAGCGCACAAGGTAAGAGTACCGAACGTTTACAAAACTGTTGTAAATTTTATATACAGGCTATGGCTTTATAGCACAATGGACAACACATAAAATAAAACCCACACAATAATTAATCACTTATGAGTTTTATCACATCTGTTTCACCAAACTTCAGTCTGCTTAATTTATACTTAAAGGAGCATTATAGTCAACATATAAAGGCAAGAAAGACAGGACCCTTGACCTTTTCTTGCTTTTATATTCATTTCCCATTAAAAATAAATAAAAATGAAAAGTCCTTTTTCTTATATAAACTTGTCTCCATTCCAGCGCCGAGTTCCTCAGCAGGCTACGCCCCCTTTTTCGTCAACATGACGAAATAGCAGGACTCGATCAGACTCTTCTCTTTGAGAAGAGTCATCGCTCTCTGGTGCGCGTGGGTGCATTTGTGCTGTACCAATCGCGTTCTTTAGAACGGCATTGAATGATGCTCTAAGAATGAACTGAGCGCTCTACTGCACATATGCGCGTTCCCGAGCTGAGCTGACCGCTCAGCTCACTTTATGCCCACCACCTCCTACTGCAACGCTCCTCATCCCAAAGTTTTTGTTTACATAGAAACTATATATATTTGTGTAGCTATTGCTATTTGTTACAAACTGCCATTTGTAACTGTTATTTTATTTGACAAATTGCCCTGCTTCCCTGTGTTATGGAGAAGCCTAATTGCCAGCCTTCTGCCCCATGACTATGGACCTAGTGTGTATGGCGATTTGACTGTATTTGTGGGATCTGAGCGCTGTTTGGATATATTGAGCGCTCAGATCCAAGCCATCTGGGGATAGGTTGAATGTGGGGGTTCTGTTCAGTTCAATAGGAGTTATGTATTTTTGTGTCTTTTTGTGTCTTTTGCTAACATGTGGTTAATGGAGTCTGCCTCTATCCCTGGATAATTGGATTACTTTCCCCATTGTCCAGGATAGAGGCCTCTGTAAAACCGGTTTGGGCCAGAAAACCATGCTGCCAGCCAGGCCCCAAAAGACACTTTTGCTAACTTTTGAACCCCTTGTCTGATTTGTGCCATTTTTTAATATGTTGCTCCCCTTAATGGATTGATTCCAAATATGTAATTTTTATGAAGATTGGATGTGTAGTTTGGAAGTTATAGTACATGTATAAAAACTGTATTTTTACTGTTCTGTTTTAATTATGTTATGTGATTATCTGAGGGATGGGAATTTCCCCGAATGTATATTGTTCCGATTGGTTATACTGCTAATTATGTGGGTGTCTCCCTTGCATGGGCAGAATCTCATAAAAGCAGAGTGTGTGCCATTAAACATCAGATCTTCTTGACCCTCAATACGTAGCCTTGTCTCGTTATTGGAGGGAACTGCTATATCACACTGGGGATTGCTATGCTCTGCATATTCCCCTGAGCTTTTAATCACTTTTACAATACAACCAATCATACATGTATATTACAGAAACACTCTCAGCAATTACATACAAAAATCCTCCCCTCTGCCTGTGATATAATTGTTACACAATGGTTTAACATAATTAACACAGGCAGTAAAAATACAGTTTTTATACATATCCTGTAACTTTAAAACCACACACCCAATCTCCATAAAAATTACATATTTAGCACACTTAAAACATAAACATAACCAAAAATCAGCCAAATCCATCCAGGGGTTAAAAAGTTAGCTGGAGGTCCCTTTATGACCAACTGCAAGCACATTTTCATGCCCAAAACAGTTCCATAGATTTGGGCTGTGCAGTTGGTCTATTTCAGGCTGAAAAAACGACTAAGTCCCATCGCCTAATAGGACTTTGTCTCTGCGGTTGCAAAATCGTTGTGGGAGAAGGTAGGGCTTAGCGGTGTTCACGGAAATGTGTAGTCGATTTTAGTTCCATGAATTTGGCTACACATACCGCTGACCTCGTGTGAATTAACAAAGATGGCCGCCGCCACGTGTTTGGCAAACGAACAAAGGCCACCCAGCGTTCGCCAATTAAGCTGCGGTTAACCGCAGCTACTGGGAGGTAAATTGCCGACACACTCCCAATACAGGTTGTCCGCCTGTGTGGTACTTGGTTCAGTAAGCCCCATTTACTGAACCAAGTGGGAAATAGCTAGGAACAAAGGGGTTTTAACCAGGTCTGGGGACACAGGGGACACTGTCTTAAAGGGGCAGTGTCCCAAACAAGTCTGAGGGCAGTGTCCCAATTTTCCCTATGCCCCAAAAAGGTGCTTAAAGGGCCAGCACCAGTCCCATTAAAAAGTCCATAAGCCCTAATATGCCCACCGACTGTCTTAAAGGGCCATACACAGCCATTAAAAGTCCATACATTTTCACAATCTCCCAGGGTTCATAGTCATGCGGGAGGAGGCTGGCAAATAGGCTTCTCCACAACCCAGGGAAGCAGGGCAATTTGTCATTTAAAGGGTCAGTTAGAAATAGCAGTTTGTAACACACATTCTATACTACTTTTTTTTTTTTTATTTTTATTTTTTTTTATTAAACCTTTAAAATAACAAGGCTTTTATGTAATTTGACATCTATGCATTTGTATTGTTAAAAAAAAAAAAAAGAAGCATATTTTGGCAATAATGTGGGCATAATTAATGCAGCTTAATTCAAATTAATGTATTTGTCCTAATTTTACAGAGTACACCATGTCTAAGATTTCAGTCTTTTTGGTACATGTCACAAAATACAAGCTGTAAAATACAATCTCAAAAGCGTGGGGCATCTCTAGAATTCTGTGGAGCCCCCATCTTGAGATAGAAAGCACCTTTTAGAAAAATTAATTCAGGAAGAGCAATAGAAACAGAAAAGCCAGAAAGGTAGGGGAGCAGGGTGGTCTTAAAATGAAATGGAGAGTTGGATAGACCCTAACTATGTGGGGGGAAAAAAATTTCTGGCGCATGCTTTTTGTATCTGTAGCAGCTCAAACTTCCCGAACCAGAGTCTTGTCTTTTCTGGTCGTAGTGGAGAATAAATAAGAGAATGACGGGAAGCAGCACTTTCAACTGAAGTCCTGAGTTCTAAATGAGCAATATGAAAAATAGAAATTACAAAACCCAAATATAGTGTAGTATTTTAGGGTATCAAATATGGCAAATAAAAAAGATTGCACTTACACTTTTCTGGAGCTCAATATCGGCTCCAGATCACTGCGTCTGGATGGTACAATCCCCGTCTGGATATGTAGATGGTCCTGGTCCTGAGCAGGTGGTGTTAGGCCAGTGGTTAGCGAAGCAAGGTTAACAGCGGTAGTAGTGGTGCTCACATTTGATTTGTTTTGGTATGCCAGTAAATACTGCTCCAGTAATATGACAAAAATAGCACTCTCTGTAAAGTTAAAATAAGTGTTTAAAGTGTTAAGGAGGTTATTGGTTGTCATAATACTGGTGTGAGAGAGGTAAAGGCCTATTTACAATGTTATGTTTGCATGTGACTTTGTCCCATATCCTGATGGAGTTTCAGTGAAGGTGTTGGTGGTGGTATCCATGGCAGGAGGGAGTGTATCATGAAGCTTTGGACACTGAAAGCATTTCCCGTTAGTGGTAGCATAACATAAGTAAATCACATCGTAACTATAACAGTATTAAAACATTATATAAAATGTGATACAAGCAGCATTAAGTCCTCATGGTGTGTGAGGTAGGTTTAGGTCTCACTCATCATAGGACCTCTTAACAGTGCCACCTCGGGGTAGTCATCGTCAATGCCCTTCATCATCTACACGGTAGTGTTTTGGTGTTGCATTTTCCCACTGTTATGCTTCAGTGTGATCTGCTCATCTGTGTTCTCTAGGGCTGACATTTCTTCTGCCATGAATGTCTGATGTATTAGTTTTGAATGTGTGTCTTGCGTCAAATACTCTGTCACTAAGTTTGAGTTTGGTTCCTGATTTGGAGTTTGCACCTGGTTAGTCCATGGTCTAGAACATAGCATGTTCCATCCATTATGCTGTCCCTGGGAAGTTGGGTGAATGCTGTCCCTGGGACCTTTTGAAGTGGGGTGAATATATTTATACACCAGGTTATGCCAAGGTTATTGAGGTGCCCGTGGAGGCTGTCTCGTGCCCAGGGACCTAGTTGGGCAGAGATATGTGTAGGTCAGTGTTACTCAGGGTTGTTCCAGCGGGACCAATTTGGCGTATAGTGGAGGCCTGGTGTCTTACTCTGATAGTGGAACCCTTGGTAACATCAGTAGGAAGAGGTTATGATATGTGCACGATACTCTCAGGGAGCGCATGCTCAAAGCTGCTCTTGATCCCATAATGTCTGGATCATTCTATTTCAAGAGGTTCTGCGGGGCAAACGGTCTTCATAGCTGGAGGGACTTTATTCTGAAGTTGTGGGTCGTTGTACAGGATGGATGGTGGTGTGAACAGTTCCATTTCACCCACTTTTATCAACACATGAGTTTGATTGTCCTTGCTTCAGATCTCTTCACTTTCTGAACTTGGAAGGTGCCGGGTCTTGAAAGAATGCTAGTCTATTATCTTGGTATTGAGGAGGGTGATCTCTGGCCTGGTCGTCAGTCGTTCCTTTGTGCCAAAGTAATGGAGTCTGGCTATAATGTCCCTGGGGTAGGCTGGGTTTAAGATTTGAGGGTGCAGGGCCCTGTGCTTTCTGTTGATAAGTGTCACGGCTCTCACCTTGACATCCAAACGGCCAGACGTGGTCACCCCTGAAGTGCCCTACAGAGGATTTGAGCAGTGGGTCTTCTGTGCTGTAGTCCTGCAGTTTTAGAGCAACTCTCCAGTTCTTGCTTCAGCCTATGTTTATTCTGACCTTGTTTCCATCACTGGGAGCTGGACATTACCTGTGGCTGTTCCTGTCATCTCAGCCCACCTGAAGCAGATGCCTAACTAGACAGGTATAAGACACTAACTCTCCCTGAGGGCAGTGTCCGTTCATTGACTCTGCTGTCTGGTTCCTGTTTTTTGTATCCAGATCGTTTTGCTCCTGACCTTGGCTTATTCGCATTGTGTATCCTGACTTCTGGCATCCTCTGACTTGGGCTTACCCTCAACGATTCTCCTGCTTGTGTCCTTACCTGTATTGCGACTTGGAGCAATATCCTGCACAGCCCCAGTGCACAGACTCTCAGGCCAGGTAAAGTCTTACCTGACCACCTTGGCCTGTGTTTAATTGCAAGGGTGAGCATAAATCTCTGCCTACTGGACTCCCAACTAAGGTAAGCCGTGACAATAAGGAGGTCATTGTCACGGCAAGGGTGCCTAATTTATTATTGCACTGTGGAGTATTGTCCTTTAATGTAACTTGTGTAGGGCATTAAGGACCTGCCAGCCTCGCAGAGATGGTATTGTCAAGGTCAAAAAGGGTTACATCTTTTGAAGCTGGGACCTCACACCTAGTTCAGATGACAGAAGGGGTAGTTTGAATGATGTGGGGATGTGAAAAGGATTTTACCATATGGATGTGAATTAATCAAGGCTCTGCAAGGTGTGAGCAAATAGTGAACTTTAACACTTTTGCCACCACAACTACGTCACGC